GTATTCGAGTGTGAACATACACATGGGTATAGAAAGTCCTTTTTTTCTATATGCAGATATTTATCTAAAGGTTTCAAGAAAATCCACTTTAAAACTAGCATTTAAATGAACCACCTGTCACCTATCATAAGGCATATCCCATGTACCTATACGACAGCGAAGATAACTCAAGACCACCGAGCTTTTCCATTTCAGTTTGGGGATACTATATTTCTAAATTCTTTGCTGTGCTGCTTTAAGAATCGCTAATCTGTATGGTTATATAAACATGAAAAAGCACAATTTCTATTTTTTCCACAATCAAACCCTACATTTTACAACTATAAATCGTTTTTGAGAACCTGTCGAAAAAGCAAGGGCATGTGGGCAAAGGTCAGCCTTATTTTGTTTGTATTTTTATAAAAAGAAAAAGAAAGACGGCATGAGAGAGGAAACAGCATTGCTTTTAAAAAGCTTCTTGCAGGCATTTTTTTTTTCTTTTTGGAGTGTCAACATGTGACTGCTTAAAGGCACCTCAGTAAGATGAACACGCTGCCCACCTTCAATAGGGCTTGGAGCCATTTCTCTAGTCACTGCACACGGCCACTCCCCAGCCCTCCCCAGCCCACCCCAGCCCTCCCCAGCCGTCCCCCAGCCTGCCCCAGCCCTCTGCAACAGCTCTTACTGGTTCTTCAAGTGAATGGACACAGAATTAACCAGCTCTTTCATTTCCCACCTAGAGATGATTTACTCCCTTCTCAAGCCTACCCTCAAATTCTCTAGTTACATGGCCCTTACAGCAGTCAGAACGCCAGTAGCAACAAAAGGCATAAACCTGATGCATCGTTTCAGTACGACAGTCTGGAAATTAACCTAATTTAGATCCTTTGTGCGGCATCTAAGAGAGGCGATTCATACACCCTATACGCACTTGTCAGTTACTCTAGTTATTTCTTTGAAAATGTTTTCTACATTTTCTACCTCAGGGCAGAACAGTCCTGGGTGATATTCCTTCCTTGAGGTTTTGCCCTTCTTGTCTGTTCTCTTCCCCTCCCTCTCAATGGCCACAGTCATCGTGATTTCCACTGAGTGACCCGTTTAATCCTCTCTTTGGACTTTAGATCCACTGTCCCATCCTTTCAGGTGAAACCTATCATAGCCTCCAAAATCAGCCCAACTCCAGAGATCCCACAAGGTCAAACCACGGTGTCACCAGCAAGTTTCAAATTTTTCACTCTGGTCACGCCCACACATGTAAACAGAGCCAATGTATCTTCCACTATAGTTCTAGGTCTTGAACTTAATCCAATAAATTTCATTTCAAGATATGTATTCCTGGGGGCCACTTAAAGTAATTCATTGCGGAGAAAAATGGAGGACAGAAACAAAGTAAAAGAAACATATGCTCTTGCTTAAGGTCCAAACAAATGTCACCTGCGTAATAGTCCAGTATGAACACATCCTACCTTCTCTAACTAGACTCAGAGCCTTTTCACCTCAGTAGCCATGCCATGGTTTCCTTGGTAACCTGTATCTTGTGTAGAACAGCAGCAGACTAGATAGGTCTATTCAGTTAGAACTCGTGTGCTGTATTTACGTGTGTGCATATTAACATATGTGCATACAGATAGAACTAAGTTCGGAACTGAGAAAACATCTATGTATATAAAGGAATTAGGAACTTCCGGAAAGTTTAAGTCAGTTTCTTTTGAGAACAAAAGTACCAATGTCAGTTGCACCCAATACCACTAAGCACATACACAGGCATTTCCTGCGCACTAGAAATTGTCTGTCTAAAGTCTGAAACTATTTACTCCCAAGTACAAAATCATGCGTAGAGCTGAAGATACAATTTTGTCAAGAGAAAAAGATTCACATCTTCAACTGCAATTTTTAAAATATCATTCTGTCCTAAAAGCTTTTTAAGAAAATAAATCATTCATTTACCCAGTGATTCATTTACTCTCATCCAGCAAAAATAAAACTCATACTGGTTTAGTTCCCCTATCTTACTTTTGATTCCAAATGTCATTTTTTTTTCCTAAGGCTGATTTTTACTTTGTTTTTGTGTGTTGCCTCGGTTTTTTTAATGAGCAAGTGTTATATTTTAAATGGTAACATCAATAATGTTAACTTTTCAAAGAAAAAGAGTGGCATTTAAAAGATGACCAGTTATTAAATTAGCCAGTGTTCTTTCACATGTCCCCAAAATACATCTAAATATCACTTTAGAAATTTGCTGGGAATTTAGCATACAAGTGAATCAACGAAGGGAAAAAAAAATAATTACAAAAGTGTTTGAAACCTATCTGAAAGAAGAGGTTTCTAAATCCTAGTCTACAAGGAAAAGCAAGTCACTTTTTTTCCCTTAAAAAAAAAAGTTGTCAACAGGCTAGAATCCTGCATCTTTAAAGTTGGAATCTGGAGAACAGATGAAATCTGAAATATCTCAAATCATTAGACTTAAAATTTTTCACTTGAACAGTAAGTAACACCCAGGAAAGGGCTGCCTTTTCAGATGCTGATGAAGTCGGCTCCAGATCTGTCCAGGATAACAACCTCGCCTTGACCACGGTGAAAGAGAGATGAATCCTTTTGTTAGCTATTATTTTAACTAGTGATTTAAAGCTAGTCTGCCCAACGATTCAAAACTGTTCATATGGTCTGACACAAATAACCTCACTAATGAGGCTTCTTCATCAACTGAATCACAATCAGATTTCTGAAATCACGTTCAACCTCCTGGACTCCCTTACATTTCCCTGTCAATATCGCAGTAATCACATCAAGGCAATTCATGCAAATACACATCTCCATTCTCTCCATCTGTCCTTAAAAGCCCCATTCAGCCTCAGTCTGTGCTATAGCACCATGCTGCAGCATCCCTGCACTTGAACTTGGGAATACAGGCTTTCCAGGACTGCAGGCAGAGCCCTTACCGCATTCCTTCTGAACCTCATCTTGCCTCTCGGGGGAGTTGCTTCTGCCATCTCGCCTATACACAAGAACACTCTTCTTTTCCAATTGTCAATGCAACATTGATGAAATATGAGCTGCTTCTGGGGTAGTGTTTAAAAGCGGCAGCCAAAAATCTCTGTCACACAAAGCTACTGTGGCTGCTTCCATTACCGCGGTGGCGGTGGCAGCTCGCAGAAACCCCACTACCCCTGATTAGTCAGCTGACAGAGCCTTCCCGGCTGCTCATTGTAATTCACAGGGGACACATTCCCCCAATTACTTAGCCAAATTGAGCCTCATGGATTAGCTCAGGAAGATCAGGCATGTCCTAAGAGTGGAGGAAGGAAAAAAAAAAAAAAAACCACACTCGACTCTCCTCCTAGGGGCTTGCTGGGACTGGCTTTCTCCTCTGCGCAGTTTGCTTTTTAAGGTGGAATGCTAAGAATCTTTGTGAAGGTAGTATTAACTGATATCTTTATTCCTGTCCTACACTACCCGGCCCTATAACTTAAAATACACTTCAGGATTTGGGTTTTTTTAATATTATTATTAAATTCTATTCTGAGTTTAAGCCTTGCGAAAAGTCAACAATTTATGAAATTTTGATAATAATCCAGAAAGAACACACCAACTTTTTCCTGGGGCACCTGGGTGGCTTAGTCTGTTGAGCCACAAGCTCTTGGTTTCAACTCAGGTTATGATCTCAGGGTCCAGGGTCCTGGGACTGAGCCCCATTTGGGCTCAGGCTCAGCACAGAGTCTGCTTCATCTGAAGATCTTGCTTTCACTCCCTCTCCCTCTCCCCCTGCTCATGCTTGCTCTCTCTCTCTCAAATAAACAAAAGTTCTTTTTAAAAAAATTATTTATTTATTTGAGAGAGAGAGAGGGAGACAATGAGATAATGAGAGAGGGGACACAAGCAGGGAGAGGGGGAGGGGGCAAGCAGGATGTGGACTCGATCCCAGGACCCTAGGATCATGACCTGAGCCAAAGGCAGACGCTTAACGACTGAGCCCCCAGGCAATAAAAGCTCTTTTTATTTTAAGATTTTTTTTTATTTTTATGTATTTATTTGACAGACAGAGATCACAAGTATGCAGGGAGGCGGGCAGAGAGAGAGGAGGAAGCAGGCTCTCCGTGGAGCAGAGAGCCCGATGCGGGGCTCGATCCCAGGACCCTAGGATCATGACCTGAGCCGAAGGCAGAGGCTTCAACCCACTGAGCCACCCAGCTGCCCCAATAAAAGCTCTTTTTAAACAGTTTTGTTTCTAATCATTAATTATGAAGTATAACCTAACTGCACAGTTTATTTTGGAATTTACAAATTAAGGTCTTTAAATTGAGTTGTATGATTATTTCAAAGATACTTGTTCAAAGTAATATGCCGAAGACAGTTACAGCTATCTATACAGGGGCAATCTGGACCAGAAATCCTTTCTGAATGCAACTCTTGCTCTTGAAATTAGCTTGCATTCAGTATTTATCTTTAATGCAAACTGTGCCCAATGGCTAGTTATGGTAGAGATGTAATTAATGTGCTCTTGAGTATGGGCATAGAAACTATACATTGAATAGAAACATTTAACCTGTTAAAAGGAAACAGCACTTAATCTACGTGTCACCCTCACCGGAGCCCCCATCTTGCCTCGCACCAACAGTCTGGCAGTTAAGAGAAGGAAGAGACACTGAGTGCCAAGCTCTGGGCTCAACTATGGTCCATACTTCTCCATTGAAAGACCATCCCTAGGGAAACAGAAAGGGGACCTTCGCCTCCCCAGAAACAAATCACTATTACTCTGTTGACCCTCAACTAACAGGATCAAGACCAAATCTTATCTTTCTCTTTTAGAAGAAAAACAAGACTGTTCCAAGTGGCCTATTTGATTAATAGAAATAAAACCTTAACAAGAAATGAATGCCATGTGCCCAATGGTCACTCAATGAAAATTAATTTAATCAAGTGGATAGTTTGGGCCAAAAGAAAAAAGCTGGGCTGTGTAATAAAAAAAGTTTTATTATAATAAGCGTTTTATTTAGTATAAAAGAATCGTGAACCGGGTCCCATATTGAACTCGAGTTGGAAGAGGCGAGTCCGGTCTCAAAATGGAGGGCCATGATCCAAAGGAACCAGAGCAGTTGAGAAAACTGTTTATTGGTGGTTTGAGCTTTGAAACTACAGATGATAGTTTAAGAGAACATTTTGAAAAATGGGGTACACTTACAGACTGTGTGGTGATGAGAGACCCCCAAACAAAACATTCCAGGGGTTTTGGTTTTGTGACTTACTCTTGTGTTGAAGAGGTGGATGCAGCAATGTGTGCCCGACCACACAAGGTTGATGGGCGTGTAGTGGAACCAAAGAGAGCTGTTTCTAGAGAGGATTCTGTAAAGCCTGGTGCCCATCTAACAGTGAAGAAAATTTTTGTTGGTGGTATTAAAGAAGATACAGAAGAGTATAATTTGAGAGACTACTTTGAAAAGTATGGCAAGATTGAAACCATAGAAGTTATGGAAGACAGGCAGAGTGGAAAAAAGAGAGGATTTGCTTTTGTAACTTTTGATGATCATGATACAGTTGATAAAATTGTTGTTCAGAAATACCACACTATTAATGGGCATAATTGTGAAGTGAAAAAGGCCCTTTCTAAACAAGAAATGCAGTCTGCTGGATCACAAAGAGGTCGTGGAGGTGGATCTGGCAACTTCATGGGTCGTGGAGGAAACTTTGGAGGTGGTGGTAACTTTGGCCGTGGTGGAAACTTTGGTGGAAGAGGAGGCTATGGTGGTGGTGGTGGCAGCAGAGGTAGTTACGGAGGAGGTGATGGTGGATATAATGGATTTGGAGGTGATGGTGGCAACTATGGTGGTGGTCCTGGTTACAGTAGTAGAGGAGGCTATGGTGGTGGTGGACCAGGATATGGAAACCAAGGAGGTGGATATGGAGGTGGTGGTGGAGGATACGATGGTTACAATGAAGGAGGAAATTTTGGAGGTGGTAACTATGGTGGTGGTGGGAACTATAATGATTTTGGAAATTATAGTGGACAACAGCAATCAAATTATGGACCCATGAAGGGGGGCAGTTTTGGTGGAAGAAGCTCGGGCAGTCCCTATGGTGGTGGTTATGGCTCTGGTGGTGGAAGTGGTGGATATGGTAGCAGAAGGTTCTAAAAAATTTTCAGAAGAAAAGGGCTACAGTTCTTAGCAGGAGAGAGAGCGAGGATTTGTCAGGAAAGCTGCAGGTTACTTTGAGACAGTCGTCCCAAATGCATTAGAGGAACTGTAAAAATCTGCCACAGAAGGAACGATGATCCATAGTCAGAAAAGTTACTGCAGCTTAAACAGGAAACCCTTCTTGTTCAGGACTGTCATAGCCACAGTTTGCAAAAAGTGCAGCTATTGATTAATGCAATGTAGTGTCAATTAGATGTACATTCCTGAGGTCTTTTATCTGTTGTAGCTTTGTCTTTTTCTTTTTCTTTTCATTACATCAGGTATATTGCCCTGTAAATTGTGGTAGTGGTACCAGGAATAAAAAATTAAGGAATTTTTAACTTTTCAAAAAAAAAAAAAAAAAAAAAAAAAGAATCGTGAACCAAAATCTCAACAAGCCCAAGGACGGATGTTAAAAGGCCAGAGCAAGGTAAATGAATAGCTTTTACTTAACTTTGCCCCACTGACACAGCCCAACAGTATATTCTGGGCAGATGTACTTTCTCCAAAGGAATTTTACCTTTTTCTAAAAAAACACTGAATGTATTTGTTTACCCACAAGTCATTTGGAAAACAATAGAAAACAGCAGGTGGAAAGAGTACCAAATGAAGTTCCTGAAAATTCAGTTCTTGCTTCGCCTGGTTTTGCTCTGTCATCACCAAACCCTCCCCTAAGTGTGTATATTAATGTAGTTCCCTCATCTATAGGACAATGACAATACCAATGTGAAAGGCAACGATGCGTTACAGGAAGTCAAGGTTTCGCTATTTTATTTTACTAACTTGTGTGCATTTCCTGTTAACTCTTCTCCCCACTGCTTACTGTTACACACTTCTGTTAAAGAAACAAATGAAAAAACCACTTGGATTTGCTCAAGATGAAGAATAATTTGGGCTGGGTATGAAGAGTAATGATCTCATCCGTCGTACCATGTGAGCGCATTTCTTATGCTCAGCAGCTAGGTTAGTAGAGCAAAAAGAACACTTGGCTCGGAAGTCCAACACCTTAGATTTTTGTCTTGCTTTCACGACCAAATCAACTGCCTCGGGAGAGAGTGGCCTCCCATGTCAGTCAAGGAGACAGAATTTCTGATGATTGATGATGCTGGGTTCTCAAAGGAAAAAAATATATTGATTCCCAGCTACTCTGGTCTGATGGAGGAAGTCAGCCACATGGTACTTCCCGCCAGCTCAGTCATCTACGGGTTCCTCACCTCCCTCTTCTATGAACAAGTGTCAGACAATGCCACCATAACCCAGCTGAGTCAGACACCGTGAAAGATGATCTTGGCTGTGGGCAGGATTGCAGCTCTCGTATTTTCCTCTTAGGGACACTGTTTTCTCTGTCTGGGTCTCAGGAAGCTGGGGGCTAGATTCTAAAAGGGAGCTAAATCGTATTATAGTTGAGTCACTTCCCTACTCTATCCCAGGGAGGGAAACGGTGAGAAGGACACACATCAAAATGTTAAAAGGTGTTTATTTATGGATGGATGAATTATGACTACTACTTTAAACTCTCTTCTTTATGCTTTTCCATATACAGTGAGTATACAACAGAGCTATTTCCATTAAAAAAAAAAAGCTCCCATAAAAACTCACCTTGCTCTGAAAGGCACAGAGAGCCATGAGTCTCTTCTCACTCATAACTTGAACCACTAACTACTTATTCTTTCCCATTAGGTTTTATTTTGGATGAGCTGTTTAGCTTAATCTCCTCTATCAACCCTTCATACTTTCCCATCTCACCATCTCATCATTTTTTGTTTTTTCATTGTGCACTTTTATTGTCCTCATTGATGAATACCAAAATATTCTGTACTCCCACAAACAGAAAGCATTGTGTAAAACAAAAATAAAAAGCTGCTGAAGAGTGCATTGGTGCTTACTGAGATTTTCTGGAGAGAAATTTTGAGGGAAGACCATGTATCCAGTCTTCGATCAAGTATAATGGTAAACCGAGAGTCAGATCCATTTTGCCTGCAAGATAAGAGGAAATAATGTTGTTCTTAGTAACTACCCAAATTTGCTAGGTTGTGCCCTTAATTCTGACTGTTTCATTACATTTGATGTCTTTTTTTAAAAAGATTTTATTCATTTATTTGACAGAGAGAGAGAGAGAGATCACAAGTAGGCAGAGAGGCAGGCAGAGGGGGAGGGGGAAGCAGGCTCCCTGCTGAGCAGAGAGCCCAATGCAGGGCTCGATCCAGGGACACTGAGATCATGACCTGAGCCAAACGCAGAGGCTTAACCTACTGAGCCACCCTGGCGCCCCTACATCTGATGTGTTAACTAAAGATAAATTTGGATTGGGAAAGCTATTAAAAAGTGCTATGCTGGAAAACCAATTTAATTCCATGTTCTACTACTCAATGTTTAAAATTTCTTTTTTGACACTAACATCATTCTTTTAAATAGTCAAGTGATAGCATAATGCAGCTAGGTCACTAAAATGAATGTGACATCCTGCAATCTTGGGTAGGAGAAAACCTTGTAGACAGCTGTCCTTTACGACATCAGATTTACCTTTTCGTGGCAATCCATCAAGAGCCAATGATCCATCCATTCATTCATTCACTCAGAAAAACACCATTAAATATAGGTTTCTATCTCGTCTGCTCCTTGAGAAGGCAGTTTAATGAATAATAAAACTTGTATTTGCCCTAAGAAGATCTAAAATACTTTCAAGCTTTAAGGGATGCACTACAAATTCAGTTTCTGTGATTTGACTTCTGTTCACGCAACTCCATATTTTTACCATTGTAGATTTGTGGCCTCTCAGTCTTCAGGGTTAATAAATAGAAAATGTTTCCTTTAAAAACTTTTGTTTTCAACCTACAAGCACCTGGGTGGCTCAGTCAGTTAAGTGTCTGCCTTTGGCTCAGGTCATGGTCTCCCAGTCCTGGGATAGAGCCTCACATCAGGCTCCCTGTTCAGTACGGAGCCCGCTTCTCCCTCTGCCTCTGCCCTTCCCCTCTGCTCGTGTTTTCTCTCTCTCTCTCTCTCTCTCTCTCTGTGTGTGTGTCTCCCTCAAATAAATAAATCTTTAAAAAAATTACATAGATAAAAATTTTGTTTCAACCTAAATAAAATCTTCAAGGAAGCTTTTGAAACTTACCTTTTAAAGCATTCTAGTCTCAAATGACTTCTAATATCAAAAAGATCCTCCTAATAAATTCCAATATCACTTTTGAGTCTACTTAACATTTGACCTTCATATTTTACCCATGGAAGAAGAATTGCCCTCACTCTGGGCTAGTATGATTTCCTTTTAGGTAAATCAAAGTCTTGAAGTATGATCATCATTTTCAACCTATGTTTTTCTTCATGAAGACAAATATCTCCAGACTCCCAATTTTGTTTTCATAGATCCTCAGTATAATTTTTATAGCAATTTAGGTAGCTGTTGGCTTCCCCTTCTAAGTTTTATTTCTTATCTGCTCAGACGGTGAGTCTTATAATCATAATAATAATAACAGTCACACTAAAAAGCTCTTTTCCTGTTATTACATTCAAATAGGTCTCTAACACATACCAAACTGAAAGAAATGTAATGAAATACTATACCTGGCAATAGATGTCAAGTAAGTCAGCACTTTTGCTATCACTTCTTCTGGTATACATCTGAAATTACAATTTTCTGGGAAAGTAATGATCCAATCATTTTCCTTTCCCCGGCCACCTAAAACCATTTAAAAAAAATCAAACAAATTAACAATTCATGTAACAGCAATGCAAGTAAGAGGATTTGAGAGGACAGTTTTGGGCCAATGTAACTTTTATAAGGATAATGGTCTTCACATAAATCAAAATGGCACCATGCCCTTAAGTTAAAAAAAAAAGTAGCCAAGGGGCACCTGGGTGCTTCAACCAGTAAAGTATCTGACTCTTGATCTCAGGGTCTTGAGTTCAAGCCCCACACTGGGCATGGAGCTTACTTAAAAAAAAGAAAAAGGTAGTTAAGTAGTGTCTAAATGAAAACAGAATTTAAGAAAGAGAAAAAAGAGAGAGAGAGAGAGAGAGAAGGCAAACGGAATGATTATACTCAGAAGAAATTTTCATGGAATTTGTATAATTAAAAACACAGCTGACCATTCATGCTGGACAACCAAGGGTACCGGGAAATAATGGTTTTTACACCAACGCTATGGGCCTCAATTCAAACTGGGCAACTTGATATAATCAACCATTTACACCTATGATGAGCCTGAGAGAATACAGGATATAAACTATAGGAAATAAGTGCTGTTCTAATGAATTTGTAGAAAAAACAACATAAGCTTTAACAGCAACAACAGTATAGGACTCTTACTAATGCAAAGAAACAAGGCCATGAATTCTCTGTGGATTAAAATTCAATGTTCAGATAATCACGTCAAAAAATGGGCAGAAGACATGAACAGACACTTCTCCAAAGAAGACATACAAATGGCTATCAGACACATGAAAAAATGTTCATCATCATTAGCCAACAGGGAGATTCAAATAAAAACCACATTGAGATAGCACCTTACACCAGTTAGAATGGCCAAAATTAGCAAGAGAGGAAACAACGTGTGTTGGAGAGGATGTGGAGAAAGGGGAACCCTCTTACACTGTTGGTGGGAATGCAAGTTGGTGCAGCCACTTTGGAAAATAGTGTGGAGATTCCTTAAGAAATTAAAAATACAGTTACCTATAATCCTCCAATTACACTACTGGGTATTCACCCCAAAAGATACAGATGTAGTGAAAAGAAGGGCCATCTGTACCCCAATGTTCATAGCAGCAATGGCCACGGTCCCAAACTGTGGAAAGAACCAAGATGCTCTTCAACAGACGAATGGATAAAGATGATGTGGTCCATATACACAACGGAATATGATGCCTCCATCAGAATGGATGAATACCCAACTTTTGTAGCAACATGGACGGGACTGGAAGAAATTATGCTGAGTGAAATAAGTCAAGCAGAGAGAGTCAATTATCATACGGTTTTGCTTATTTGTGGAGCATAAGGAATAACACGGAGGACATGGGGAAATGGAGAGGAAAAGGGAGTTGGGGGGAAATGGAGGGGGAGATGAACCATGAGAGACTGTGGACTCTGAGAAACAAACTGAGGTTTTGGAGCGGTGGGAATGGGAGGTTGAGTGAGCCTGGTGGTGGGTATTGTGGAGGGCACGTATTGCATGGAGCACTGAGTGTGGTGCATAAACAGTGGATTCTGGAACACTGAAAAGAAATGTAAAAAATAAATAAAAAATTTTTAAAAATTCAGTCTGTACCTACTCGAGAGCCCTCTACAAAGCATGGAGGATAAGGAACATTGAGAGTGAAAGCCACCTAAGTACAAGGATGAGCCTTACA